ATTGGATGATGATGATGACGAAACGTCACGATCAAATTGTTCAGTGGTCGGAGTTGCAAGAAATGAGCCGGGATAGACGAGTTCGGGTGTTAATGTCTCTCTGACTTTGTTGGCGGCAGCATTTGCGGGGGCTTGCATTTGCGACATGTTTGACTCGGAAGTAGTAGGAAGAACCTCAATTGGGGGAATTAAATGAGGGTTTGCGGGAACGTAACGGTTACGATTTATCCGCGGTGCATGGGGCGGTTCACGTATTGGATGAAGATTTTGGGATTTTACTAACGTGCTGAGTTGTGATGGATTCATTTGAATCCGCTCAGCCAGCTTTCGCGAATTTAGAACTGGGGCACGGGTGGCCACTTGGGATGGAAGATGCAACGTTGCTGGTGAGGGAGAACGAAAGGGCATTTGACCCGGATCCGGCGCAGAAATACGACTGAGTAGATTGGGCGGTTTTCCAATGGTACCGAATTGGACATCTGTAAAACTAGGTGGCGGTTGGTGAACAGAAGCTGGCATACGGACCCCATTCCCAGTCTGCGGCGCTGACTCGGGTACAGACTCGGGTACAGACTCGGCAATTAAAAGGTAAGAAGGAGAGCCAAAGATCGACTCTGCCATGTTTGTTAGAATTGATAATGGTCAGGATCAGTTTGATACGCTTATATATGCCTACATCACTGATATAACAATGGTAAGAACTCAAGGAGATGAACTGGGCGCACTGATGTGAAAAAATTTGCAATCGTGTCACCGGTAGACAAAGGCAGTTGATGAGTTGAAAGGCGTTGAAATGATTCAAAGGTATTCAGTCCAAATGGTCATGAGACAAAGAGCTTGAAATTACATACCGACTTGGTATCCCTCGGCAAAACCCGTAATAACAAGTTACCAAGTGCGAGTTCAGGCCACTCAAAGCTCGCCATCTGTCGCAGTGCAGAATATGAACCTTGAAATTCATTGATTGGAGTATTCATGACCCACTTATAATGATAGATGCTCAAACTCGAACTTCGAAAATTCGGACATCTACTTATCAATGTATCATATCGCGGCCATCCATCAAGTAGCTGTGATACTATTAGGTACTCCACAAGTTCAATTCTGTGACAGGCTAATGATTTTGTTGGACAATATAGACGAATTTGATCATGAGTCATGCATCTCCGAGCATAGCGCATTGAGAGCTGGGCACCTTCGAGAACACATCTGATTCGACAAAATTTATCCCAGTCATCAAATATTGTGTCCTGCGAGAGCACTTCGGTTACTCAAGCTCAAAGCGTGTTACTATATGTATTCACACCAGCAATGGAGATGCTTCATCTCTGTCCTTCTGCGGCTGTGGTGGACACAACCTTATCTTGCCGTGAATTCCAACAGGTTCATCTGTCATGAATTCCAAACACAAATCATTATTCCTTTCTCAATTTCCCTAAAGTGTCTAAACCCAGCGCTAAGACAAACCCAAACCCTATTGAAATCCCCATATCCACTTCTATAACTGAACTTCCTGATGAAGAAGAAGAGATCTTTTATGATGCTATCGGATAAGATAAGATAAGATAGTATCATGTGATCTTAGAATCTTCTAGAATATGATGTCATAACAATGTCACAACTATCACATCATATGATTCTCATTTCTATTTTATGATTGGCTAGTAGTTTCAAACTCAGTTTACATCTCAGTTTCAATATGTGTATATAGTTAGTTAGTTTTGCTGTAGCAGTTCTTTAGTTCAAACCTCTTGTATCTACATAGTAGCAATCTAAGATGTCCTTGCTCCTTTCTTTTCTTGTGACAACCTTTGTTTGAGTCCTAGTCTCTACCCTTGCGTTAATTCGTTTGTGGGTTGTGACAGACCCCCAGTTGATAAAAGAAATCTTAGAGAAGCGAAAAAAGGGTCAACATCCAACTGAATTTGAAGACTTTGGATTACGCACCATCTACAGTCCTTTCTGGGCCAATCTCCCGCACACAGACATATTCCTTGCTTTTACACCTGACCTCCTACACCAGCTCCACAAGGGTGTCTTCAAAGATCACTTGGTGAAATGGTGTCTTGAAATTGTTGGCGAAGCTGAGATGGATGCACACTTCAAGGCAATACCAGACTATCCAGGTCTTCGGCACTTCAAAAAAGGAATATCAGCAATAAAACAATGGACGGGCACAGAACACAAACAAATGCAATGTGTTTTCATAGGGTTACTGGCCGGCGCTGTCCCAAGGTATGCTTGATGTCATACTTGTGGCTTGAACTTTGTGCTAACATAATCAATTTTCATTTGCCAGTCAAGTGCTGGTAGTCGCACGAGCTATCTTAGATTTTTCTTACTTTGCACAGCTCCGAACACACACATCTGACACCCTCAAATATCTGGAGAACGCCCTTGCAGTATTTCATGCCAACAAGGATATTCTGCATGAACTTGAAGTTCATGAACATTTTAATATTCCTAAACTACACCAACTCTTGCACTATGACTATGTTCAATCAATCTTGTTGTATGGTACCACTGACGGTTTCAACACCGAACTTCTGGAACACCTCCATATTGACTTCACTAAGGAAGCCTATCAGGCTAGCAACAAGCAGGATTACGAGGAACAAATGGCTCTGTGGCTTTAACGCCAGGAAGCCGTGTTCTTGCGCAATTCCTATCTCGAATGGCTGTCTGTGCAGTCTCAGTCGGCTACCATAGCCGGTCATGCTGACCATGATCACAACATTGATTCAGGCTTGGATTCTGAGATGGAAGACTTGCAATTTGAGTCTCGTGCTGCCCCCGCCAAAGCACCTCCTGTCATTGGGCAATGTGTACTCCATGTTCTCGCCAAGGCTCCTGCGCACCCTCGGACATCCGTTCAGCAGCTCATCACTGCACATGGCTGGTGCAGTCTCATTTCTCCCAGCCCTCAAACTCTTCTTACACAAGCATTTACCAAAAAATGGCATTGTCCCTGGTCCACAAGATTGTTTTGACGTTTTCTGGCAAGTTGTCATTGTCACTCTGCCGGACCCGCAGGTAGATGAATCACCACGGCGATGGTGCATCAGAGCAACACCCGAAGTACCTCCTGGTCCTGGCCGGAAGCCAGGATTCCCTGCCAAATTCAATATGGTGCTGATCAACAATGGCGGTTGGACCACAAATATACAGACATTAGATGGTAAGTGGTTGTTACTGTTTAGCCGTTGCAAAATTCATATGGAGGCTGTAGGCGCACAAGTGGCACAAGTCTGTGTCATTTTCACACTGCCTCGTCAGTTTGGAATGTATTCTCAAGCTTTGGCTTACATTGAATGGTTCACACCATTCAGGGAGCCAGACCCCTTCTCTGGCCTGCTTCAGGTATCTCGTTCGACTTGATGACTGCATCAAAATGCAGCCGTGATTCATGTCGACAAAATTCTTCATCCATGTCACCTAATACCAAGGATGGGACAATTCATCAACCCCGGGTGGACAAGCGCAAATGCCTATGAGTTGGCAACTGATTTTTATCTGAATACATTCATTGACTTAGATACTTTTTGTATTTTTGCTATTACTTAGTACTACACTGCTCCGTGATACAATCTGATACTGTTGCTACTGCACTACAAGTCACTCGCAGCATCTCTGGTAGCTCTGCATAGCCCACTATAGAGTAACTCAGTTGACTATATATCACTACTGTAGCTATGTAAGACTATGTAACTGTCACTAGTACTCCCACCATTTTGGTTTTTTCCTGATGTAGAAACGGGAGTCATGGCATTTGCAGCTCAAAGTCGAAGTTGAGGTACACAGAAATTGGTGGAGTACTCGACCAAATTGAAGTGCAACGTTCGAATCTCATTCAGAAAATAGACGGACCCAAAGGACCAAGCATATGAGGTGAGAGGGCTGACCCAGTCGATTCCATTTGGTCACAATCGAAGCTAGTGCAAGTCCATCGATAAATTTAAGCTGGTTGATGGTTGATGATCAGGTTGGCCAAGTGGGTATCCAACCACAGAGGACAAACGGAACTCAAAGGTACTGCAAAAGACCTTAGAGGTCAAGTTGATTCCAGAAAAAAACATGAGGTCATCCTTGAAAACAGGGTCTGGACTTGGAGAAGCAGAGATCAATATTGATTGGAAGAGATCATCGGTTAAGCATGATCTGGTATCTAGTCGATGCCAACAGGTGCTATCAGACGGAGGAGGATTCTAAAGCCAGCTATTGTGAAGGTCCACCTGAAAGTGTAAGACGGCCTCCTTGCTCGAATCCAGTAACCATATAGTCTAAGTCGCATACTCAAGACTCGTTAGATCGCACAAAGTTCATGCTGTGGTGTATTCTGATTGTATGAGGTCTAAATCTAGCAAAGAAAGTAGAAGCATAAAGGAGAGAAGGTTGATTCGAACAATGACCTTATATATGTGAGAAAGCAATTGTGAGACATCCGCATACTACTGACGGAAACAAGTGTCTCACTACAATCCATGATGTAAAATGATGTCATTTCGATCTTGACCACTCATCAACGTCCTGCTTAGTGAGGATGAGTAACTTATACAAGTTTATGATTTGGAAACTGCATTGAGTATCGCAGATGGTGTATAATCAATATACTTATAAGTGTCATCAGTTACAGCAGTGAGGGAGTGTACACAAAGTTAACCATGACCATGGCCACTACCGCGGCGGCTATTTTCTGTGCCATCCTGGCAAGGTATGTAACGTGTTGCAAGGGCCATCAAGGAGGCATCCTCAGTCCCTCTGTCTGCTATGAGACCAACAGGAGTAGTAGCACAAGAATGCATTGCACTGAAATCAGCAAACTACTGGGAGCCTGTACAGAATTGTACAAACTTGTACAGGCTCAACAAACTCACAGCTAAGTCCCTGCTGTGCAAGCCTGTACAAGCAGCCACAAATTGTACAAGCTTGTGGGGTTTCAGAGGAGAAATGGCAAAACAGTATCATCACATGATACATCACCTGATTACTTTCACACATTATGCAGTTGGCAGGAATTGAACCTAAGACCTCAGTTAGTTACAAGTGCAGTGTTCTCACCACTAAGCCACAACACCATTGTTATAGTCTAACAATAATAGCAATATATACCAAATGTCACATGTCCAAAAATGTGAAAATTCCACCAAGTTCATTCATTCAATACAACATTACATATTCTATTTACTACTACACAAATTCTAGTTACATCAGCTTAATAAAACCCACATATATATGTCAGTTTGTATTATCTGTAGACATCAGTAATATTGGTGGTATGATATTTAATTATATGTCTGTTGAGTTTGTAAGACCTGTGATGTCTTGTGACACCTTGTGATACTTGTGACACCCACTTGTGATGAAATTAGTAGTTTTCTGATGCATATATGTATGTCAGTTTGTATTATCTGCAGACATCAGTAACATTGGTGGTGTAATATTTGATTATATGTCTGTTGAGTTTGTAAGACCTGTGATGTCTTGTGACACCTTGTGGCACTCGTGATGAAATTGGTAGTTTGCTGATGTAACTTGCTCAAGTTTCTAGTCATGAAGGAGAACTGTGAGTGTGTTGGTATCACATTCTTCCACAGCTAAAATGGTGCAGTTGTATGGCTTGGAGTATGGTTGATATTGCCCAGTAGTAACAATATAGAATACTTGAAATTTAACATATTGACCCATGCATCGTACAGTCATAGGGAACTCCTTGTTAACTTTGTCAGTTGAACAAACTTGATAAATGAGAACTTACTGAATTGACACAGGTTAAATCGGCGACTACTCCTTTGAGACTTGATTCCCTCGAGAGATAATGTCCAAAGTTGTAGTAGTGGTATAAAATCTGATTGTTTCAGAGCACCCTTTATTAAGAGATGAAACTAGGCAATAATAAACATAAATACTGTGCCAGTGTCAAAAAAGAGGGCAGTCAATTAATCAGATATTTGCCATTGCTAAGCATTCTTGGAACCTCAACAAAGCCATTTCTGAGTGGAGTGTAGGCATGCTGGTTACCAAGGTCCAACACTGTCAAGAAGTTGTCAATGAAATGAAATGGGCACTAGTCCGAATGTTCATGCAGCATAACACATGTGTGACGTGTTTATGTCAGTATTGACTTATGTTAAGGACTCTTCCTGCATCAGCTGAAACCTTGCTTGTCATATTTCCTGACTCCCACCAGTGCCACAGAAGTTGCCGGTAAGGAACATGCAGGTGCATGATGAATTCTAGGGGACCCAACAGCATGCCCAGCAGTGGTATCCTGCATTGTAAGGCACCGTCCCATCCTTGCAGTTCAAAGGTGGTGTGGGGGTGCATACATATATCTGAGAGCGGGCAGCTGACAGTGGCACTGGCAGTAGCACTGGCGGCAGAAAGAATTGTGAGGTGAACAATTTGAATGAGCTTCATGGTATCTGGTATATATATTATGCTTAAGTCTATGACATGATTGTGTAAGGAGACCATACCAACGAAAGTTTGATTTTGCAATGTGTGTGACGCTGCTATGACAAAGTTGAAGAATAGCTATTATGTGTTGGTTTAGAATGTGTATAGTGTGGCGTACGAGTGCCACTCACAACAGCAGAAGGTGTCTGCCTCTGAGGCTTTTCAACTCAACCATGTTGACTTTATACTTGTTCTTGTTATTGAGACCGACATGATATTCAAAGAATGTTCTATGCTGACTCACTGTACATCGGTAGTGTTGTGGGCAGATGGTAGAATCCGGCAGAATGTCAAATTGCAGGGAATCACAGCGAACAATATCTTGATAACTTCCTCACCTCATCTAGCCATAGTAACCAGCTTTTTAAAGTGTACTTCCTTACTTGTAGAGTAGAAAAAAAATCAGCATGTACTATATGGTGGATCTGAATCAACTTTGCACTGGTTTAAGGCACACATATGATGGGTTTAGGGCAAGCGGAGTCCTCCAGCTCAATGCTTGGAGGACTTGCAATCAATTTTTAAACCGAGAAGTGACAGCTTTTTGGATCAACAAGAAAGTATGTATAGTAAAATATGAATGCTCCATCGTCTCAAAGGAAAAAACCTAGTATACAAGCCACCGAATGCCTGGTGACTGATCAAAAAATGACTGGTGACTGATAGAGAGTCAAATGACTCGACCACAAATGCTATAGGGCTATATTTTTTAAATTTTTTTTAAAATACAAAACAAGCAATAGAAAGAATTTGATCAAAGCTGCCAAACACAGAGTTTTACAGATTTTGAGAACCGTGTATCAGGAGATGAAGCAGATATGGGTGCTTGCAAATATATTTCTGAAACTCATCTGAAGACCAGCGTCCCGCTGCCTGAATTAGCGCAGGTGTGACACCGGCAGAAGCCAGGGCAGTGGCACCTCCAGCTCGCATTGAATGTCCTGAAATTGATGGCAGGAAGAACCACTGTAGATAGTGCATAAACCAAGCTCGTGTAGAAATCGTCCCTGAAGCTGTGAGCCAGAGATGCGGATGGTATGGGAACATTGCATCTCTTGCAATGACATATCTACAGAATAGCGGCAATGGGTCCAAGATTGATTGCACATCTGCCAGCAACAAGATTTCACATCCCTCACCCAAATTACTGCTCTTGTGATGAGGCAAAGTGTATGTTGCCGAGGCATCGGTGAATATGAGCGAGTGTCGGAATGCAACCTTGTGATAAGATTGGAGATTCTTTGTATTCGGCCAGCATAATTCCCCCAACCGCTGCAAAGTTTTAAATCCAGTGATGAGCATAGCAACAAATAAGATATCGTCATAAGTGGAGCTGCTGGCAAAAGTATTGGATACGAGAACAAGATCATCGAGTGATAGCAGTAGTTTGCGTTTGATAGGTTTAGACAGTTGCCGTTTACACCCTTTGAGGGTCTGTGTAACAAGCAAAGATGTGCAGTTAGAACAGACATGCAGGAAATGAGGTTCTAGACGATTAACGATTCCCGATAGATAGGAATCCACTGAGCGAGGTTCAATATGATGGGATAACCAGACCACATAGAAAGAAAGTGTGTCTTCTGTTGGCTCCACAGGCTGATTATGCAAGCGACAAAAGTTCAGATAGGAATTGAGATGTGAGTCATAGGTGGAAGCAGTAGTGCATTCAATAGCAAATCCCAGAGCAAGTGAGTGCTCAAAATGTAAGTGCTCATCAGTCCAGACTTCCCAAACAGGTTGTCTGGACTGCAATGTTCCAGCAATCATTTTTTCTTCGCCCCCAATGCATCCTGAGGGGGTTCAAAGTCAAAAATGTGTGCCATTGGTACGAGCTCTTTGACCAGCTCATTGTGAAAGTGCGATAGTGCATCAGCGATGACATTTTGTTGCCCAGGAATGTGTTCTACCCGAAGATCAACATGATAGTGAAGTAAGATATCAACCACTGACAATAGCAATGAATTGTAGATAGGTTTTGCCCGAAGTGAGTCGAACATGGCCACCATATTAGTGTTATCTGTGTAGATGAGCAATTTTACAGGAGGCTCATCCATAGTGACAATAGCATGGACAGCTGAACATACAGCCAAAGCTTCAAAGTAAAAGATCATGTTTGAGGGGCTGATGTCAGTAAATGACACTGGCAAGCAAAATTGTCATCTGGAAACCAGAGTCCTAGTCCAGCACTTGAGGCATCGGTATAAGCCACTACCACTTCATTACTTGACGGATCAAAGTCCAGGCATTTGAAGAGGTGTAACCCATCTGATCATTCAACATGATCAGCAAGCCAAAGAAACTCTTGAATCAACGCATTATTGATGTGAATTTGTGTGAAACTGTTAGTTTTTCCTCATATTTTGTCATAAAGCACTGACAATCCAGGTTTAAGAAGAGGGAAGACATTAAAGCTCCATTCACACCATCCTGTGAGGCATTGAAACTCATGAAGCAACCATCAATGATTCTTTTGTGCAAATCAGCGAAGTTCTACCACCAATTCAGCCTTTTTATGAACCGGTAGTGATACTTGCATAGCATTGGGATCAATATCAAATCCTATGACCATCAGAGGTGCTCCAGAAACCTGCTTAGTATGGTCATGTGGCAATCCAATGGCGTCCCATAGTTGGAGGAGTCGAGTTTGTTTGGCAGGGGAGTAACAGTCATATGGCGCATAGTACAACACACGCCCTGCCACTTCAAAAGAGAAAGAGTTGTCCATGTAAGTCTTGAGGGCATCAATGAGGATACAATGTATCACGACCCAAGCGACAAGCAACATGAAAGAAATCCAAATTTTGGGGGAACCTTGTCCCCCAAAATTATTGTTCCGATCAACATGATGTTGATCATGTACAGTCAATATTTGTTTGACTTGCCACAAGGGATGCATAGGCAGATGACGAAAAGCTTGAGATACATCAGACTTGAACAAAACTAACTCGACATTAGGATGTTGTGAGCAGAACCGGAGCAGAGAGGGTCCAAGGGAATGCAAGCCATCGAGCTTTGTTCCTCTAATAGAATCCCGATTGATCATTGAATTGAGAGAATAGTCACCTGCTGTATGATCAACAACAAGGTGGAATTTGTCAGAGTTCAGTTTGGGCACAGTATGCATTGGGATGCTATACATTCCCGGGAGGAGGTCTGTTCCAAAACTCTCAGATACTTGTCCCAATCAAATTTCTTCTTCAACCTGATTTTCAATGAACTGCAACTGCACATCACTTTTTGCACAAGTATGATGAGAATTGTCGTTGATGGAAGGATATGCATCATCAGATGTATCAGCCCAAGGCCAAAATCCCTGATGTAGAGCTTGACAAACAGATTTAACAAACAGCTGATTGGGATGGTCAACAAGAAACTCTTCAAACTTGTCAACTTTAATTGGCGTTACAATATGGAAAAGATCAGGTCATGAGGCAATTGTTTGAGCTGTGTCACTAGTATCCAATAGTTCATTTAATGGAGGTGAAGGAACTGGTTCGGCGTATTCAGTAGATCGTGCAGTAGGACTAAATGAAACATCTGTAGGTGACCACATAAGACCCTGTCTATGACACAGGCACTTAAGTGGCTGTTCATGCAGATTTGGACTTTGACTCTTCGA